GCTGTGTAATCTTCTATTTTCGGTAAAGATTCTGAGGAGGATTCTGATTTTGGTGAGAGTGAAGATAATGATGAAGCCTTCACTGTGAGAAAAAGTAAAGCTAAAGAAATAAAAAAGAAAGAAGTGAAGGTAAAACCCCCAGTAGAAAAGAAAGAGAAGAAACCTAAATCCAAATGTAATGCTTTGGGTAAGCTTGGTCCAAAACACTTAATTTTATAAAGGAAATGTATGTGGCTTGTTAATGCTGTATTTTTCTTATCTTTGCCTTTTTTCTCCTTAATGTTTTGCCAATTTTTATGCCTAGTTAAAATACATAGAAGAAAGCAGGATAGGGTGGCAAAGGAAGAAAAGCAGATAAGCATGCTACTGAATTTTTTTTGCAAATAAAGCATGCTTTATTATGTTTTTTTTTTTTTGCCAACTGTGCAACCACCACCCCCCTTTGCTATTTTCATAAGTGCAGTATGCCAATTTTTTTTGTGTCATTTGTGAAAAAAATACAGTAAGCCCCACTACCTATGCTAGCACTTAATGTATATCATCCACCTCTAGTACTCACAGCCACCTTCTGTGGTAGCTATTATCACCTGCATCTTACTAATGAAAAAAATGGAAGCTCATAGAGGTTACATATTTATTGGAATTCTGTAAGTGGAGAGCTGGTTTGTCCATTCAAAGCCTAAGCTCTATCCACAGGGCCACATTTTCTTCAGGAATTACTTACTTTCATGCTTGCCCTAGTCTTTGATTGGAGAACTCTTTTGCCAATGTTTAGGGCCCTTTTTTTTCAAACTAAATTCAGTAAGAAACCATTTTCACAATAAAGCTTTTGGAATTTGTTATGTTTTAAACATAAAAAACCAGACATATTTTTGAATTTATTTATAATATATAATTATTGTAAAATATAACTTCTACTAAGTGGATTTGTTTTATTTATTGACATTCATGTTTATGTGTTAGTTTTTTAATGTATATGCTACTTGAAATGAAAAGTTTCATTACCCAGACTTCCCATTTGTTAATGGTAGGAGTTGCTCTTGCCTTAAATAGCATGGTGCTGGGTACCTAGAATTAAATA